CACTATTTGCTACCGTTTCATTTTAATGGTAGCAGCAGCAGCGAAAAGATGAAATATCAAGCTTTTGCCGTATCCTGTTAGCAAAACAGCAAGGACATCTCTGCCTTGGAGCAATGCTCCGACTCCCTGGCGTTGTTTTCTAACGTAAACTTAATTAAGTTTAGATTTAGCGGAAAATTCTTGCAAGCTTTCCGGACGTGATCATCACCGTCCGCCATTTCTACGTTTGTCTTTATCAAAGTGAGCGCGAAAGGAAATTACGTCTTTGCCAGGTTAAAAAGCAGCCAATCAGCATTTCGTATCCCATTCTGGGACGCAGATATTTTAATTATGAGAGGCGCTCCTTGCTCTCTTCCCTCCCTCACCCCCAAAAAAATGATCCCTTGGAAATAGGCCCCTCATCTACATCCTCTCCCCCCGCCCCCAACTCGCCTATGACTCCTGGTACAGCGTCAAAAATTACTTTAAGAGATTACGAAAGCTTCTAGGAGTAGTTTACTCTGCTACCAGCGGATTAAGCACCTCAGATTTTTTTTGTCAAAGATGTATCCGTTGCAAGTTTATTTTCGGAGGATTTGCATCAAAGTGCATTTAGATCATGATTTTCAGGGCAGGAAGCTCTCGCTGTAAACAAAAGTCTTCATTCGAGCGTAGTGGCCCACCAAGTCGGATCTTATCCCGGTTTCCGTGGCCTAAAGTAATGAATATGTTTCCTTTGGTTTGTTACGCCTCTAAATTATTACTGCACACGTTTTGCCTTTGCTGGAGCAAATAACCTATTCTGGACCCAAACTCTCTTATTTCTATACTCCTACCTATAAATCCCATGTATGGCAGTACCCTCCCCATCACTGTGATATATTTGCGGTCAAATTAAGGGAATGAACAGTGTCTTAGATTTAGTGCTGTGATAGAACACTTTTTTTTGCCAAGACCCGCTAATAGTAATAGTGTTATTGCGGCCTGGTATACATAACACACCGCATACGCGCCTGAAGTGCTACAATAGTCTAACATTGAGTGTCAATTAATGGCTGAATGGTGCCACCGTCACTGCGCCTTTTCCTTTGTGAATTTAACCCTTTTATTATCCTTTCAGACCTTTCCGTTAGTGTAGGTTGTGTGTGCGCGTCATTCAAATATGCACGCGCTCTCTTCTGGTGTGCAATTAATTCGTTATTCAGTATCATGTTTCTCTGCTTCAAGTGTTTCTAGTGTCGTTTTGTAAAAACTGGGTTTCATTTTGGGTAGCTTGCAAGGGCAGCTGTACCACACTGCTTTTGTCATTGTTGACAGTTCAACACAAGGGCTGCTGTCTCGGTTATTTCCCTTTAGTTATTCCTTATCCTCTTGGCCTGTTGATTCAGATAGCTTGCTTTAAGTTTGTCTACTTCAGGGTTCTTCAGCTAGGGTTGTTTTGTTGACCGGCTTTACCTGGAGTGGGGCAGCACCGGTGGTCTCCAGAACTGTGTATGGCGTTTTCTGTGCCCTCACTTTTACAGGCCTAGATTCTGTTTTGAACAGTTTGTTGAAAATGCGTATTTGAATAAAAGCAGCTATGAGAACGGGCTCATAGCCATTTTCCTCCACACTTAGTTGTGTTTATTTTGGCCAGTAAACAGAGCTCAGGCAAACCAGCATATTCTAGCTCTTATTAAGAGTATTGGGACGGGAAAAGGCATAATTAAGGTGAACATCATCTTGAATGATGAACACAAACTTCGGGTAGATCCACTAGTCCTTATGACAAAAGATGATCTAAAAAACACGACAAATTGAAGGGGCGTAACAAGATCATATCAGTGGATAAGTACCATATATTTCGCCTTTCATAACGTTTCTAAGTTCTTCTGATATAAAGAAAGAAACAAACTCTAAGAATAGTAAAGAAAGGTTTAAAGTGTTTTCCGTGTAACGTTTAAAGTTGATAGCTGCGGGTGAAGTATCATTTACATTCTACAAAAGTAACCGTGTTGGGCATTGCTTTTCGAAATAAGCATGAAATTATGATAATTTGTTGTATAGTTTTACCATAAAATTGCCGTTTCTAATTCGCTCTTTTCTTTAACTTGTTTAAACTTTCTCGCCCGAGGGTTAGAGGCTCCTGCTTGGCGGACTTTTTCTTTCATAGTTTAGTCGAACGATCAAATAATAAATATAATTGGTATATTCCTAGACTTTCACTCAACTAAACAGGGACTGCCATTGGTTGATTCTTGGTCACATAGCCTTGACTAAAATCAAATGTATCCCGAACGTATTACATTTGAGCGGATACATTACAGCACGTGATCAAAGAATGGTGGAAAGTGGCTTAACAGAAGGCGAGAAAAACACTGTTGAAGTGAAAGTCTAGAAATATAACAAAACACTTTATGTCAGGTCCCTCGGGAAACCAGTTAGTTTTGTTTTTCCTCGAGTCCTGATGTTTCCCTCGACTTCTTCTAGGGAAACTTCAGGACTCTTGGGAAAACAAAACAAACTGTTTCCCTCGGGATCTGACATTAAGTGTACAATGTAACTCACTTGGGTAAATCAAGAAGCTAAAGCTATACGTGTGCGCCACTGAGAAATTAAACGGAGAAATAAAATTGCTATGATTACAGTGGTCAAATGAGAAGTGGTCTGGTAACAGAAGTGGTGGTTTTGGGTTTGTGGATGGAACTGTCCGCCCGATTTGCAGGACGGGGGAAAACCAACGGCTTGTTTGTAACGGGCACAAGAGGGTAAATGCCCTCAAATTTCAGGCTGTTGCTCTTCCTAATGGGCTAAGACAAGTTATTCCTACAAAGTCTCTTTTGTTTTGGTTTTAAGGTCACCGGTTTTGGCTTAGAAACTTTATCATTTGAACAATGGTTTTTTCAGAGGAAAAGAGGCATGATGCTGCCATGTTGGCTAACTCTAATTTTATCACCGCTTTGGAGCACAATGCTGTATCCCCAACTGACCAACAGATGTGCATATACGGAGACCTGGCCTATCCTTTAAGGGTAAACCTCATGGCACTGTTCAGAGGGACCGCCCTGACAGCGCAAATGGAAGCATTCAATGATTCTATGTCGAATGTGCGTACGTCCGTCGAGTGGTTGTTTGGAGACATTGTTGAGTATTTCAAGTTTATGGACTTAAAAACCTTAAAATAGGTCTAAGCTCGATCGGAAACTTGTATGTCGTGTGTGCCCTTAAGAAATGCGTTAACTTGCCTTTGCGGAAATTCAACTTCAAGTTTTTTCGAGCTGGATCCTCCCACACTGGAGGAATACTTCTCTTGAACAATTTTAAGTCATCTTTCTACAAAATGCTGACGAAAAATTTAGCTCTGAAATCAGTTACAGGTAGTTAAACAACGTTTCGATAATTCATCGATTTTTTTCTAAGATAAAGGAATCAAACACTTTATTAACAGTCAAATATTATTCAAGCACAATTTTAATAGAAGAAACAAAGCTGCCGAGAAAACAAGACGAAGGCTATAATTACACTCACTGTTACTACAAAGGCTCAGTGGTCTCAGTGTTCACCAATTTCAGTAGATAAACACAAATACATAGCTGTGCCGAGCTACTTTGAAAGAAAATTACAGTTACTGCAAAAGTCACTTGTTCACCAGTTTCGACAGTAGCTCCATCATGTTTTGTTGTTGTTTTGTTATATTATTTAGAACTTTAATATTCTCTTAAATTCATACACATGGTTAAGAAAACTAGCATTAACTATAATATATTTCTTACTTAAGTTACAGATGAATATTCTTAATCGTTTTCCTCCCGATCCTTCAAACATTATCAGGGCAATAGACTGATAGATTCATCAGTTTGGCAATTTCGTTATTTTTCACCTCCTTAGTATTTAAATGGGGCGTGTCCTTCTCCTATCTCAGTTATACTTCATACTACAAACCGAACCACTTTTCAACACTATTATTGACAGCTTGCGTTGTAGGCGTGAAATAGGAATGGAGTAGTTCGGGGCGAATGGGCGTATTTATTGCAACCAACCTATTAGGCTTATAGTCTTGCCCTCTCGACTGATATACTTTCTTATTCTCTCGTATTTCTCCGTTTTAACTACATGAAATAAATTCATATTCAGTAAATGGCCAAAAGTGCTGATCAAAATGCGCAAGATAACAATTTACATAAGAAACAAAGCTAAATGTCAAGCAATTTCAAGCAGCTTTTACCAAAATTACTAACATATTCAATATAGCTAACATTTATTGCAAGCTCTCATTTGGAAGTCTTAGTAATGAGTATATCAAAACTGGTACAGCTAGAAGTAGGTTTTTGTCGTTAATAAACATCATTCTAGATCAGAAAGAGTTCAAAGTAAACAATAAAAGCCCCATTTTTTGTCAAGACTATGAACAGTAAAAAGCAACAACAACAACATAAGCTTTATTACCAAATAAAAGTTAACTTAATTTACAATATAATATATTAATACAAAAAAGGTAACATTTACTCAGAATAACTGAAAAGCTAATCGAGCTGAGTAAAGCTAAATAATGTTCAGGCAAAGCAGGGGTTTAATATACACATATACTCAATACATGCAGTACTATCGTACAGGACCTAGGAAGCAAAGTTTCAGTCCAGCTCTCAACTATGAGGTGGTCAACTATGAATTTATAATTAACAGCTTAGAAAATCGTTTTTGTTTGCAAACGTTTTTTATTTTATTTTATTGGTGGCTGCACAGGGGCACCCAACGGCAATTTTCGGGAAAATATCTGTTCGGAAGACGATTTGAGATCTAGAATTTTCGGAGAATTGGTTCCAAAATTTCTTGCTTGCCTGCCTCTCCTAGGATTTTCGAACATCTACAAAATGGTATAATTACTCATTTTTAACGGATTTTGACCCTAAAAAAGGCCACCTAGAATTTTCGGGAGCCTTTTCATGGCTGAAATTTTCGAGAAGGTAGGTTTTTATCCCTATAATTTTCGGATCACTAGATTTACAGCTAGGAAATCCGAACAGATGAAAAGTTTTTAGGGGATAAAAATATGCCTATATCTACCGTTTGAATACTAAAATACGTTCAACAATGCTATGTTAAGTGGTTTTGAACTATATCCTCGTTGGGTGCCCCTGGCTACATGTGTGACTTGATAGCCGTTAGCCATCCCTTTAGTCGATTTCACGTAGTCGGCAGCCAGCTTTACACATCTTGCCGAGGTTTTTAATGTTTTACATAAAAAGAACACACCATCCTGTTTTTCCGCAGAATGTAAATACAGACTATGTGGTTTAAAAGTTATTTCGTTTTGTCTGTGCCTTGGTGCAGCTCAACCATCTCTTCAGTCACGCGGTTTTCCATATGACTTCCATCTACAGTCAGGTCATTCTGATCACTGCTGGCCGGAGAGTTCTCGGTTGGCGCTCATTCAAGAAGAGAGCACGAAAAGCATTCCAAAAATCTTGCTTAAAGAAGGTGTACAACAAAGGGTCGATCGCAGAGCTAAGATATCGGACGATAGTAAATGTTTGCGCAACGTGTTTCATGGCGGGGTGAGACGCGGTATTAATCCATCCAACGTTACTGAAAGAATATATTAAGAACATTGTAAACAATGGTAGCCGACAGATGGCAAAGGTAACTGCCATTGTCAACAGAATTATCAGGCACTTTTTCTCGTTGGTAGACTTCTTCGAGGTTCGAGAATCTCTTCTCTGTAAGGATTTCCAAATAGCTCTGAACATGACGCAGTACGCATAAAGCATAAACATAAACGGCACCAAAAACACGAAGACGAGGCAGAAAATGTTGTATCCGACGTACAAGTATAAGGTGGAAGGTTCAAGAGATAGCCACCATTTTTCGAACCAAAAGGAAGGAAGTGTTCCAAGTAATGCCGACCAAAGCCAAACCATACTCACAGTCTTGGAAACTGTCTTTTTGCTCATCATGTTACGACCAAACGGATCAACTACTGCAAGATATTTTTCTGCCGTAATGACGGTTATATGATAGGCTATTGAAAATGAGGCCACGTTGTGCAAGAGGATTGAAGCACATATAATTCGATAATCACCTGAGTTTAAAGTTTGAGCGATAAACAGAGGGATATTTATCAACCCTGTCATTAAGTCGCTTATGGCTAAGCTGAGTAGCAGGTAGTTTGCTGGAGTACGTAAGCTTTTCGTTTTGTAGAAGAGAAGAAAAACAACTCCATTCGTGAGGATGATCAAAATTGCTATGGGAATAACTTCTGCGAAAATATGTTGGTTGTTGCTCTGTCGTGACTCTTTGAGAGTTGTGTTGGTTGAGTTATTCATGGCCAGTGTAATGTTCATGGCTGTTGTCTTAACTGAGGTCTTCAACCCATTCCGTTGTTCGTAATCTTTGTTCGACAAGTTCCTTCTCAACTTCTTTGTTCTTAAGTGAGATTAAAATGGCTGCAAGAGCAAAAATATTTTTGAAGAAGTTTTAAAAAAGGAAATGTATGACGCAATGCAATGAGAAACATGATGTTGGGTTTTAAGCGAGGTACCACAACTGTCTAAAATAGTAAAGAAATAGAAGTAAGCAGTTTAAATTTCAGTTAAAACAACGACCATTTGAACTCACACCCACTGACCTCGGTCGTTTTTCTGGTGCAGCGTCCTCACACCCCATTTACTACTTTTTTCCTTTTGCTTTTGTTTTCTAAATTTGCAGCTTGCGTTGCAAACGATAACCAGCGCTATGAATCTAAAGATAATTTAACCTGCATTTAACCGCTTTGCGATTAATGTAGACAACGTCCACATAAACAATCAAGAAGCAAAAATTGCTAGTTTTAGTTTCATCCAATAGCGTCTTCTCAGAAACTAGCTGTGTCGTAGTAAAGTAGTAATTTAAATAAATTATTTGTGCGGGGAATTGCACAATTAGCTCAATTGTCTATTATTGCTCAGTTCCTTTAAAAGTCAAATGAGGTCACTGCGCTCTCCTTAACAACTTAAACCAATGAAATATTTGCTTCTCGTGAGAGGCTTTTACTAGGCAGGCAAGTGATGTGTCAAAAAATTTTGTATACGTTTAAATGGCTACAACGTTTTTATTCCCCATTCCTCTTAGAACTATTTAAAAAAAGCCCAGTACATTTATAATTTTTCATGAAAGTTGTTAGGCTTTGTTAGGTTTTGCAAATATTCTACTTTGTCGCGCTCTATTTCCGGACACTTTTTACATAAACTGTGATGGGCTAGAAATGACAACACCATTTAGAATTTTCAATTTGTGTAAGACAACCATTAAGTTTAGACGACAGTCTCCACATAATTTTCCCATTTTTGTCATAATAGCGAGGACAAATTGAAAAAAGGGAACAAAACATTACGTGTGTGATTGTCTGGGAAAATAGGGCCACCTGTCCGAAAAATAGACTGCGTTTTATACAAGACTTGAAACAGGGACGATAAAAAATTCCGTACAGATTACGTGTGGAGTTCTCACATAAGGAGGTTAAAGTTTGAATTTTAACACGGTGTTTCCAGACTAATCTATTCTTTTTAATCATATTGGTGGCGGACTCGTCTTGAACAAGAACAATACCCTCCCATAAGGCGTTGCGGGCATGAAGGTAGACTGGTGAACGTATCTTTTAACATAACATGTAATAATCATAATCATAATCATAAGACGAACTCTGAAGGCAACAACGGCTTACCTTGTGAAGCACAGTTCGAATCGTAAGTGCCAGAAGGTGAAGCTGGAAGGTTTTGGACACATCAGTGTCCTTGGACGGCGAAGGGTTGGACAATGTTCGATACTGCAAAGCTCTTGTTGTAAGTCTAGCCCAGGGAGAAGTAAAACCTCTGATGCGACAGGTTTACTAGCCGTGGGATTCTCGCTATTTAGCTGGAGGCGGGAAATTACACGTCGAAGGAGGATCTTTTGTCCTATGCCGAAATCGGCCACGAAAAGATTACGGAGCAAGGGCAATCACGGAAACTCGCAATTTGCCCAGTGTAATTATATTAAACTGAACGAACTACGTATTATAATGCTACTGGATGAAATCCGATACTGTAAAATAATAATAATAATCAAATTCGTAGTCAGGGCAGTCGGCGGTTGTCGACCAGCGTGAGTCTGTATTGCTTATATTGTCATTTTCATTTCATTATTAATTCAACTCTCGTAAATCTGCTTCTATTTTTTTTTCCTAATGCTTACCTTTTGACGTTTCCTGAAGTCCAACAGCCGATCCAAGATATATCTCCACAAGCTTAATTTAGAATGTTTAGCTTCTCGTGGCGAAATAAACGTTTACAGGGCGTACATCCGCACTGGAGCGGCTCCAGTCTTGTCAACTGTTCCTTCTAATCATGGATTATTTACTTTGAGTCTCCTCATACTTTCTGGTGATATTTCACTCAACCCAGGACCTCTAAGATATCCATGCGAAATATGTGGCCAAGCAGTGAGAAAAACCTGGAGGGTTATTATGTGCAAGGAGTGTTCAGTCTGGTTTAAAAGCATGCTCGTATGTTAAAGATTTTTACTTCAAAACCTTGGAGAAGCAACCATCATACGTTAGGTCATGTTGCAACTGCGGCCTGACAAGTTTTTCCTCGTCAATGTTTTCATCTGGTGTTGTTACCAGTAACAGATTTGATACATTATCTAACCTTCCTTCTTCCTCCCCTTGAAACCCAACAGGCACACAAGCTACATCTACCTATTTGTCCCGCCTCTGTTTTCCCCTGCACTTGTCTAGTCCTTCTCATCAGAAGACAGAGCAAAAGAATAGTGATCAATGGACAACATCAAGCCGATTAACATCTTTATTCCGTACGAATCGCAAAAGTGATATACGGTCCGTAAATTGCATCTCATTAGTGCGACATATTTTCATGGCAAGAGAGCGCAGGCACGGTTTTTCGATCCAAACAGATAACACGAATTGCAAAATTCGTATACTTAAGAGGTGTGGTAGGTTTATTGCAGGATTTTTTTGGCAAAGCTCTTCCGCGCGCGCAGTTCAGCTGTTAGGCGGAGGAGGACTAAAACTAGCTCGCCTTCGCTGTCAGGGCAAGGATTAAAATGGCGCCGTCACGGTGGAGGTAACTCAGTTTTATTGATTATGAATATCTTTAGATCGCCGCAATCTATAAGCAAAGTTAATATTTGGCGTATTTCTATGTGATACACAAAAAATATTTAGGTGAATTTTATATTTGGTCTTATATTTTTTATGTTTTTTCACTTTTATTGATTTATATAAGAAATGTTTTACCCAAATTTATAGAGCTTTGTATGGAGACGCCATCCGCCGTATGGAGACGCCATCCGGATGAGCTCCAACATGGCGGACGGAAACCAACAGAAACATCTGTTACTGAGTTTTGCTACAAAAGCGTGAATTTACTCCTAGAGGAACTCATAAACATTAAAGTAACACGTTTTCTAACATTTGAACTGTTTAGATAGCAATATTCCTCGAAAAAAGTCACTTTTTTAACCTACATGACAGCTCTCTTGGCCGTGATGTAAATGGTGCGTCACGCGAAAGCTTAGAAATCCAAGCGCACACTATTACAAAACCAAGAACCCTTTTGAAGCGAAAATTTGTTTGAAAATTAGTTTTCAGCTGCTGTAATACACCATGAAAGTAAAAGCTCAGTAGGATCGATAGTTTTGTAGTATGAATTTTAGTGACGTCATGTGAAAACCAACAGGCAGGCTCACTTTTTCTCGCTGTTTGGCAGAAGAGCCGCCAAAATATTTTCCTAAGTTACAAGAGCGTTTAAGCCTTGCTGCAAATGGTCAGACTTTGCCCAAGCACCAAACAGGGGAAGGAATTCTGCAAACAGTGCCAAGGCCTGTATTGTTATTGTGTGTTTCTGGTAGGATTGTTCAACTGGACTGAGTCTGGTTTTGATTGCCTTTTTGTTTTCTTAAAAAACACCTGCTGCACTTACCGTACAGTGTAACTGTTGAACGTTCAAGGCCAAAGGGGAAGGGTCCTTGACTCTAGTTTGGCAATGGGGGTTTTGCTGTCTGGGTTTGAAAGAATGTCCCACTTAGTACAAAAAGATACCTAAAAATTCTCTACCCTGTGCAGGAGAACTAACTCCTTTTAAAATGAAATGTTGTTTCAGACCAGTCTCAGACCATGCTCAGTCCAGTGATATCCTGTACATGTATATGCCATAAACGTGCGCCCCATGTTTTTCCTGTTCTCTAACATGAGATAATCTTTTGTAGTAGCCCATTTCCGAGATGCCGCAGGCCATGTAAATTAAGAGTGGGATAGTGTGAAGCCTTTGACATAAAGAATACTTTAGTTATATTTCTGTTTTTTCTCTTGCAATCAAAACATTTTTATCAGAGAGATATTGCAGTAGGCTTCACTTTGGAACTGGGAAACAGCCTATCTGGCTATTCATAGCCTTTGAATGTTTAGGTTTGGAATTCCACAATCAACTAAAAAGATTAAGTATTTGTTGTTTCCAGAGTCAGATTTAAGGGTCTTAATTAGGCATGATCTGCTGTCAAATGTATTTTCAAACATGGAGTTGTGCCCATACAAGTATTAAATGTTATTTTAAATAATTAACGTTAACTTTGTCCCGTGCTCGTGACATGTTGATTACATCATTTCTCATAACAATATGTACTATACCAAAGTGATTATGAATGGTGGTGGTGGAAAGTTACTGAGCTGCAAAGTGGCCAGGTAGATATCTACCAATTGCATTAACAGTGGAATGGCCACTACAGAAAATAATTTTTGTTTTCAATAACCTGGTTTTCCCAGTTATTTACCTTTTCCGGATGCCTAAAAGTTACTGGTTTGTGAACGTCCCCTAAATGGGATAAGATCGGGAAAATCACCTTCAGGATCGTTCTCTTTACTAAGTTCAACCTGACACTGGACAGTTATTTCAGGTTTCTCAAAGTATTTTTCCAGTTCTTTTATAAGGGATCTGGTCTTTTTTCAGGTCCTGTCGCAGTGACAAACTGCCTGTCTGTGGCTTTAAGTCCAATTTTTCACGAATAAATGCTTTGACTTCTTCTTCACTGATAAATGATAGACTGTTTAAATCAATCACGAATATAAAACTTCATTTGTACCGATGGTTTATTCACATGGAAGGTCGGATTTGTTTTTGACCCTCGGCCGCATGAACTTTAACTTACTCTATATTGAGCTTTTCCACTTTGCATTCTAGTTCTTTATAGAGAGCTGATACCACCATCTTCACTAAATTAAATAAGCCCTCTCTCTCTTATACGCGCCCCGTCTCTATTACCCCCCCCCCCCAAAACTTGTTTGAAATAAATAAGCCGAAGGGAAGGGGTTTAATAGAGGATTTACGGTACATCTGATACGATTCGAAGCGTTGTCAACTACCTGCTCTTGATCCGCAAAAAAACCTGTCAAAGTCGTACGTAACATCAAACCCTAACACTTGCTGTAAATCTTAAAAAATACTACAATATTATTATTATTTATTTCGCCACTTCCGTTCGCTGTTGTTTTGTTGAAAGGGAACCTCAGCACGTATTTTCTCGGTAGTGTCCAGACCCTTACATCACGGCTAGATCGCTTGACCCCGCTTTATGGCTTATAGAACGAGAAATATTATATTTGAAGCGCGCTTTTTGTGGATTATGACTTATAGAACGAGGAATGTTACATTTGGAGCGCGCTTCTTGTGGTTTTATGGCTTATAGAACAAGGAATGTTACATTTGAAGCGCGCTTGTTGTGGTTTAGGCTTATAGAACGAGGAATGTTACATTTGTAGCGCGCTTCTTGTAGTTTATGGCTTATAGAACGAGGAATGTTACATTTGAAGCGCGCTTGTTGTGGTTTAGGCTTATAGAACGAGGAATGTTACATTTGTAGCGCGCTTCTTGTAGTTTATGGCTTATAGAACGAGGAATGTTACATTTGTAGCGCGCTTCTTGTAGTTTATGGCTTATAGAACGAGGAATGTTACATTTGTAGCGCGCTTCTTGTAGTTTATGGCTTATAGAACGAGGAATGTTACATTTGAAGCGCGCTTGTTGTGGTTTAGGCTTATAGAACGAGGAATGTTACATTTGTAGCGCGCTTCTTGTAGTTTATGGCTTATAGAACGAGGAATGTTACATTTGTAGCGCGCTTCTTGTAGTTTATGGCTTATAGAACGAGGAATGTTACATTTGTAGCGCGCTTCTTGTAGTTTATGGCTTATAGAACGAGGAATGTTACATTTGAAGCGCGCTTGTTGTGGTTTATGGCTTATAGAACGAGGAATGTTACATTTGTAGCGCGCTTCTTGTAGTTTATGGCTTATAGAACGAGGAATGTTACATTTGTAGCGCGCTTCTTGTAGTTTATGGCTTATAGAACGAGGAATGTTACATTTGTAGCGCGCTTCTTGTAGTTTATGGCTTATAGAACGAGGAATGTTACATTTGAAGCGCGCTTGTTGTGGTTTAGGCTTATAGAACGAGGAATGTTACATTTGTAGCGCGCTTCTTGTAGTTTATGGCTTATAGAACGAGGAATGTTACATTTGTAGCGCGCTTCTTGTAGTTTATGGCTTATAGAACGAGGAATGTTACATTTGGAGCGCGCTTCTTGTGGTTTACAGCTTATAGAACGAGGAATGTTACATTTGAAGCGCGCTTGCTTTAGTATGTGGCTTATAGAACGAGGAATGTTACATTTGAAGCGCGCTTACTTTAGTATATGGCTTATAGAACGAGATATATTACATTTGTAGCGTGCTTGTTGTGGTTTATCGCTTACAGAACGAGGAATATTACTGTTGGAGGGTGCTTGTTTCGCTTTACGGTTTATATAGCTCATATAACGAGGAATTAATACGGTCCGTATCAATCAAGCATACGGACCGTTACGATTCGTACGGACCGCACGAACCGACAACACACTATGCCCTGATGCCATCTTGAGATGCACGCTCCGTATGTACTCAGAATACGGACCGTTAGCAATTCTGACGGTTTGTACGGACCGTACGATCCGTCAACTGCTCTTACCGTACGAACCGTAACACACTGTGCTTTGATGTCATAATGAGATGCACGCTCGGTATGTGCTCAGAATAGGGCCCGTTAGCAACACTGACCGTTTGTAAGGAGCGTACGATCCGTCAACTGCTCTTAACGGTCCGTAACAGTGCGACAGTGTTGGACATGACTGAATTTTGTACGTGTGTTTAGACCGTAAGACCAATATTTCAACCCAATGGTGCACTAGGGGGCAAGTCCTTAGGGCGACCCCTTTTGTAGATCAAAACGCGAAGACACATGGCCAAGAAGGGCGCTAAGACACCTTGTTTTAGAATTAGCTCCAAAACACCGAAAAATGCTCGAAACAGCTTATCTATATTTGTCCCTAAATTTGGGTTTTCTAACTCAAAATAAAACCTGCTTGGTTGATTTTTTGATTCTCTAACAAACGCTCACCTCTGGACAGTTGTTTTACCCAGCTATTTATCTCGGAAACGTGACTCAGTTTCCGTTTGCTCGAGCCCTCCCCTCCCCTCCCCTCTCTAAGTAATGATCGCTTTCATATAAACATAATCACCGGACGGAGCTTAAGAAGAAGAAACCCTGGCTAAATTTAACCCTGGGTTAAGCACTAATCGGCCTTTGAACAACTGAGCCCTGATCACTGAACATTTATTTCCATGGATCACACGCACTGCTCACCAACGACGCCTGAAAAACAAACAGACTAATGACGTTACCAGACCCACTGTTTACTACAAGACTCTATACAATAAAGACAAACGGACAGACAAACTGGTCAGGAACATTCTACTCATACCACAACCCACACATACTAAACTCCACACACTTCTTCTTACTAACAACAAGTTACACCATAAACTAATCCTATTTAATAATTCTACCACTTAATTATATATATTACGTCAATACGCTTACAATCCAAATATATATTTACTAGCAGCCATTTCTCTTTTTGCCAAATCTTAGCTAGTTATTTATATCATTTTAATGGGTTCTTCACCTAATACCATGTACATAGATTCTCCACACGTATTACAATTCTCTATATCTTTTAGCACTACAAATTTAATTTATTATACCCTTGGCAGCACATAACATGAATGGACATAAGAACACTTATTACGGTATTTTATTATCGAATTTTATAAGCTTCAAGCTTAAATAATAATTGTTAAATTTGGCACTTCTGTCACATCCAGTTTTGATTCAATTTACCTAATAAGTTATTTTTATCGGAAAGTCACACGACCATTTTTATGTAAATACGTTAATATTTTAATTACAGTCGACTCCCGATAACTCGAACCTTCAAGGGAAATCGAAAAAAGTTCGAGTTATCGGGAGTTCGAGTTATTGGGAGCTCGAAAAAAATAGCCCAGAGTAAGGTAAAAAACAGTTTTTACTGCACAGTGAACATTTTAATCACATTTAATTGTAGAAATGTCAAATGAAAATTAAAAGATACTTCTAGATTATAAATCAGAACGTAACGTAACAAACCATAGCCTAAATAGAGCATGCGTTTTACTGTTTTGAGAAGTAAGGCTGCTTCACGTTAGCTTATGACAATCAATATCAGCCTCCACTAGTAAACTATACTCCTACAACACGTCAATAGGAAGTCGAAAATTCAATGTTTCGGACGCCAGTAGACGGCTTTTTTCCCGACTTTTTAAGGGCTCAAAACATGGTTCGAGTTATCGAGGGTAAAATTATATAGAAAATGACCTGAGGGGAAACGAAAATTGGTTCGAGTTAGCGGGAGTTCGAGTTATCGAGGGTTCGAGTTACGGAAGGTAAAATTACAGTGAATGTATGACGGAAATCCAGGGGAAATCGATTTTGGTTCGAGTTAGCGCGAGGTTCGAGTTAGCGAGGGTTCGAGTTATTGGGAGTCGACTGTATTTGTAAAATCCAACTGGTGGTCTATTATCAATGCTGCGTTCTGATTGGTTGAGCTACTTCTAGGCTATACGTTATAGCCCACTAGTAGTGAAAGGCGCGAGCTTTTGGGGGGCAAAAAGGATTAAAGTCTAGCTTTAACTAACTAAATTTTTTTCATTTTCGATATTTTTGACCAACTAGTTGGATTTTACTAAAACAATTATTCCTCTCGCCCTCATGGCCTCTGAGGTAGATGTTTTTATTTGAACTTTCCTGTCCTAAGCCAACACCGTTTGCGTTAAAGAAATCTTTTCTTGATACAAATCCAGTTTTATGTTAAAAAAAGACGGCTAACTCACACTGTTACCTTTCTTTTCCGTAATTTTCCTCTGCCATGGCGGACGACACTAGGTAGAAAACAAGAAGTCACCAACTGCAGAGGAGCGCAGTTATGTCTTGAACGAAATTCGACGTTTTCGTTAATTACAAAAAGACGGGAAAACCGGAAGAATCAAGGGAAAACATATAGAAAAACACGGAAAACAGGGAAAATCAAGGAAAAACATAGAAAAACATGGGAAAACGTGGAGAATCTGGGGAAAACATAGAAAAACATGGAAAAACAGGGAGAATCAGGGGAAAACATAGAAAAACACGGCAAAACAGGGAGAATCAGGGGAAAACATAGAAAAACACGGAAAAACAGGGAAAATCAAGGAAAACATAGCAAAACATGGGAAAACGTGGAGAATCTGGGGAAAACATAGAAAAACATGGAAAAACGGGGAGAATCAGGGGAAAACATAGAAAAACACGGAAAAACAGGGAAAATCAAGGAAAACATAGAAAAACATGGGAAAACGTGGAGAATCTGGGGAAAACATAGAAAAACATGGAAAAACGGGGAGAATCAGGGGAAAACATACAAAAACACGGGAAAACAGGGAGAATCAGGGGAACACATGGAAAAACACGGAAAAACAGGGAGAATCAAGGGGAAAACATAGAAAACATGGGGAAACATGGAGAACCAGGGGAAAACATAGAAAACACGGGAAAACAGGGAGAATCAAAAAACATAGAGAAACACGGAAAAACAGGGAGAATCAGGGGAAAACATAGAAAAACACTGGAAAACACTGAGAATCAGGGGAAAACATAGAAAAACATGGAAAAAGAGGGAGAATCAAGTTAAAACATAGGAAAACATGGAAAAACAGGGAGAATCAGGGGAAAACAGAAAAACATGGAAAAACACGGAGAATCAGGGGAAAACATAGAAAAACAAGGAAAAACAGGGAGAATCAGGGAAAACATAGAAAAACACGGAAAAACATGGGAAAACAGTGAGAAACATAGAAAAACACGGGAAAACAGAGGAAAACGTAGAAAAACACGGAAAAACATGGAGAAACCGGGGAAAACACAGAAAAACAAGGAAAAACAGGGAGAATCGGGGGGAAAACATAGAAAAACATTGGGAAACAGGGAAAAACATAGAAAACATGGGGAAACATGGAGAACCAGGGGAAAACATAGAAAACACGGGAAAACAGGGAGAATCAAAAAACATAGAGAAACACGGAAAAACAGGGAGAATCAGGGAAAAACATAGAAAAACACTGGAAAACACTGAGAATCAGGGGAAAACATAGAAAAACATGGAAAAAGAGGGAGAATCAGGTTAAAACATAGGAAAACATGGAAAAACAGGGAGAATCAGGGGAAAACAGAAAAACATGGAAAAACACGGAGAATCAGGGGAAAACATAGAAAAACAAGGAAAAACAGGGAGAATCAGGGAAAACATAGAAAAACACGGAAAAACATGGGAAAACAGTGAGAAACATAGAAAAACACGGGAAAACAGAGGAAAACGTAGAAAAACACGGAAAAACATGGAGAAACCGGGGAAAACACAGAAAAACAAGGAAAAACAGGGAGAATCGGGGGAAAACATAGAAAAACATTGGGAAACAGGGAAAAACATAGGAAAACACGGGGAAACAGGGGAAAACGTAGAAAAACACCGAAAGACAGGGAGAATCAGGGGAAAACATAGGAAAACATTGGAAAACAGGGAGAAACATAGGAAAACACGGGGAGACAGGGGAAAGCGTAGAAAAACACCGAAAAACTGGGAGAATCATAGGAAAACATAGAAAAACAGGGGAAAACCGGGAGAATTAGGGGAAAACATAGAAAAACACGGAAAAACAGGAAGAATCAAGGAAAAACATAGAAAAACAGGGGGAAACGTAGAAAAACACGGGAAAACAGGGAGAGTCAGGGAAAAGCATAGAAAAACACGGGGAAACAGAGGAAAACGTAAAAAAACACGGGAAACAAGGGATAACGAAAGGAAAACAGGGGAATGCATAGAAACATAGGAAACCTTCTATATATATTGGGGACATATTATGGAGTCTTACATAAGATACTGACCCTTAAAATGCCCCTAACCCTTCAATTTGTTTTCTTTTGGTAGATTTCCACATCTTTCAAGAACTCATTTTCGAAAAAAATTTTCAGAAATATTGAATCCTTTTTTTTCACAAGCGCTAAAAGTGAAGGCAGTCTTGTCGATATTTTCACCTTTCGTTCGCATTAGTCCCCCACTCGGCCAAATGTGTCCAAATGTGGAGCGTGACGTAAGGAAAGGACATCGTGCAAAAGTATGCGAAGATTCGCGGTAATGCTTTATTGTTAAACAGAGAAAATGGTTGAAAAATGTTTGGTTTTTGGAGGAAGAGGACATATTTTCATACCAATTGTAAGCTTAACAAATAATCTTCGATCGCACTATACTTTCAATGCTTCGTGCTTTGGAATGGTGTCCTTTTCTTACGTCACAGCTAAAAAAAATGTCAAATGTCGGACGCTTCTCATTGGCTCGTTCCCAATGAGCCCGCGAGACAAAAATTTGTCCAGCGGGGCTTATGAAGAAGATCTGTGGAACATTACTGCGGAATTAACCACACTCTTCTATCCGTTACTACGGAGTACGAAAAACTGAAGGGAAATGTGAATACCTCTCTCTGATATTATCAATTCTACCCACAAGGCCCAGTGAAAGAAAAAACACCTGACGCAAAACTATAACACGACCCACCAGAAATGACAAATGAAAAGGGAGAAGGTGGACTCGGGAACTTTCCCCCTCCTCCTCTCCCCCCTTTACGGATTTTTTGTCCACCTCCCCCTCCCGGTTAAATCTGCCCAGCTAAATATCCTTTAGGCCTTACCTTAACTTATTTCCTCTCGTCAGCAGGCATGAATCAGTATAACTCTAAATGCATTTGTGTAAGTCTTTCAGGTGGTTAACATAAGATATCTAGATAAACTACTCAGACCGATGGCTTTTTAACAATGCTGACGTTGCTTCTCTGACATTCTTTTCCTAGTTTTACAGGGAAGCCAAAAGTTTTCATAGAACACAGAACATAGACTTGAACTGAAGGCGCTATAGTGAAAGACTGACAAAAGGTTTTATATTATCTAGAGCTTTAATATTCTCTTACATTAATACACATAGTTAAGAAAACTAGCATTACCTATAATATATTCCTTACTTAAGTTACAGATGAACATTCGTAATCGTTTTCCTCCCGATCCTCTATACATTATCATCGCAATAAACTGATTCATCAGTTTGGCAATTTCGTTATTTTTCACCTCCTTAGTATTTAAATGGGGCGTGTCCTTCTCCTATCTCAGTTATACTTCATACTACAAACCGAACCACTTTTCAACACTATTATTGACAGCTTGCGTTGTAGGCGTGAAATAGGAATGGAGTAGTTCGGGGCGAATGGGCGTATTTATCGCAACCGACGTACTAGGCTTCTAGACTTGCGTTCTCGACCGTATATACTTTCTTACTCTCTCGAATTTCTCCCTTTTAACTATATGAAATAAATTCATATTCAGTAAATGGCCAAAAGTGCTGATCAAAATGCGCAAGATAACGATTTACATAAGAAACAAAGCTAAATGTCAAGCAATTTCAAGCAGCTTTTACCATTTACCATTACATCATTCTAGATCAGAAAGAGCTCAAAGTAAACAATAAAAGCCCCCCCTTTTTTGTCAAGACTATGAACAGTAAAAAGCAGGGGTTATATACACATATACTCAATGCAGTACTATCGTACAGGACCTAGGAAGCAAAGTTTAAGTCGAGCTCTCAACTATGTGAGGTGGTCAACTATGAATCTATAATGAACAGCTTACAAAATCGTTTTTGTTTGCAAACGTTTTTTTTTTTTATTGCATTGGTGGCTACATATGTGGCTTTAGTCGCTTTCACGTAGTCGGCAGCCAGCTTTACACATCTTGCCGAGTTTTCGTAATGTTTTACAAAGAAAGAACAGACCATCCTGTTTTTCCGCAGAATGTAAATACAGACTATGTGGTTTAAAAGTTATTTCGTTTTGTCTGTGCCTTGGTGTAGCTCAACCATCTCTTCAGTCACGAGGTTTTCTATAAGGCTTCCATCTACAGTCGGGTCATTCTGATCACTGCCGGCCGGAGATCTTTGTGTAACCAGTTTCCTCATGGACAGAGTAACAGATGGCGTTCTCGCTTGGCGCTCATTCAAGAAGAGAGCACGAAAAGCATTCCAAAAATCTTGCTTAAAGAAGGTGTACAACAAAGGGTCGATCGCAGAGCTAAGATATCGGACGATAGTAAATGTTTGCGCAACGTGTTTCATGGCGGGGTGAGACGCGGTATTAATCCATCCAACGTTACTGAAAGAATATATTAAGAACATTGTAAACAATGGTAGCCGACAGATGGCAAAGGTAACTGCCATTGTCAACAGAATTATCAGGCACTTTTTCTCGTTGGTAGACTTCTTCGAGGTTCGAGAATCTCTTCTCTGTAAGGATTTCCAAATAGCTCTGAACATGACGCAGTACGCATAAAGCATAAACATAAACGGCACCAAAAACACGAAGACGAGGCAGAAAATGTTGTATCCGACGTACAAGTATAAGGTGGAAGGTTCACGAGATAGCAACCATGTTTTGAACCAAAAGGAAGGAAGTGTTCCAAGTAATGCCGACCAAATCCAAACCATACTCACAGTCTTGGAGACTGTCTTTTTACTCATCATGTTATGACCAAACGGATCAACTACTGCAAGATATTTTTCTGCTGTAATGACGGTTATATGATAGGCTATTGAAAATGAGGCCACGTTGTGCAAGAGGATTGAAGCACATATAATTCGATAGTCACCTGAGTTTAAAGTTTGAGCGATAAACAGAGGGATATTTATCAACCCTGTCATTAAGTCGCTTATGGCTAAGCTGAGTAGCAGGTAGTTTGCTGGAGTACGTAAGCTTTTCGTTTTGTAGAAGAGAAGGAAAACGACTCCATTCGTGAGGACGATCAAACTTGCTATGGGAATAACTTCTGCGAAAATATGTTGCTTGTCGCGCTGTGGTGACTGTCCGAGAGTTGTGTTGGTTGAGTTACTCATGGCCCACTAGTGTAATGTTCATGGCTGTTGTCTTAATTGAGGTCTTCAACCAGTGCAGTTGTTCGTAATCTTTGTTCGACAAGTTCCTTCTCAACTTCTTTGTTCTTAAGTGAGATTAAAATAGCTGCAAGAGCAAAAATATTTTTGAAGAAGTTTTAGAAAAGGAAATGTATGACGCAATGCAATGAGATTGAACATGATCTTGAGGTTTAAGCGAGGTATAACAACTGTCTTCAATAGAGCGTCAGTAATACTCGCAAAATACCAAGTTGCATTCACCTTGTGTCAGGTATTTTAAAGTTAACTGAAAACCAGAATACTTTGGACTGCACTCGTATTAAACAATTGATTACTCTTTTAAAGTGTACAAAAGTTTTAAAGTCCTTAAAGCCAACTATTGGTGGTTCTATGCTGAGATTTTCGCTTTTGGTAATGTTCGAAGTTTTTTGAAAGAGTGAGGAAGCAACTCTAACATTTGGCACTGTCTATTCTCACCACTATTTCACTGCAGCATTCCTCGGAACTTGGTGTCAAGCAGTAAAGGCTTCTTGCAACGTTCATTGTTGCTAGTAGGAATATCAAGTTAAAAGTGAAACAGGTACCCTATTATGACAGTTTTTAAGTGCTCTTCTAAATTAGCATAATTGATTTTTTCTGAAATTATCATAAAATTGCCCTTTTAAATTTGCTGTGTTCTTTTAATTTGTTTTAAAGTTTGTTGCCCCGAGGGTTTGAGCCTCCTGCTTGAGGGATTTTCACAGTCGAACGGTCAATGTTACTCAGTTGGGGCGATCATTGCCTCAAGAGCCATTCGTGTCCATAGCCTGTCAACCTGTGTGTTAATTGGGCGACGCTCAGGCGGGTTTTGGGGCGCACGCGCAAAGCACGCCTGTTTTTCAGGTTATCGTGTGCACCACTAAGAAATTTAAGACGAGATAAAAATGTGTTTATTTATACTACAGTTAAAGTAATGGTCATTACCGTTATAATATTACTATTTAATAATAAGATGCGAAGCGGTTGAAAGGGCATAATTCATCAAGTTTCTACTTTGTTCTTTTCTCCGAAGTAACCTGTTTTACCAACAGTTTTACTAAATGTTTTACTACATTTTCTTCCAGTTCACATTTTACTTTCACTTTTTATTTGCAGTATCATGATCGCTGCTTTATGGGGAAATTCACTTTCGGTTGAAGGTGTTTACTTAAATTGCTTTTTTTAGTGTCAGATGACCTCTTAACTTCTGAAGAAATCCGCTAGTGGAAGCCTGTTAAATTGGTTACGAGTCATGCATAACAGAGGAGTTTACATGAGTTTAGTTAACTTCAGATAATCCTTTAATAAGACTGTGTTTTGATGTCAGAAGTTAAATTACGAAAACTCCTACAACCTTGGCATTATGACTGGCCTACCTTTTCGGCTAGTTGTCCCTTGCTGTTCAGACTGTTGAAGTCTGAATTGTCTTCAACGAAAAAATCCGGCTTTGTTTTTTGGCCATTATCCGACGATGTTATAACTAACCTAGTAATTTCGATTTTCAGTTTTGTTGGCAACACAACCCACCTAACAACTGTGTTTTATTTTCTTGTCAATTCAGGAAAGCTCTATGGGGGCATGCAGTCGTTGCCGGTAGGCAGGTTTTTAATTAGTGCAAACGATTTTTTTCGGTTTTCGGTCAGCTGTTGTTTAGTGGAAAATCAACTTTTTTTCTCTCTTGGAACTACTAGCTTAAAAGATATAATCAAACGGTACAA